GCAGGCTTCACACCCGAGTAAGTTAACCCGCTTCACAAGACTGTTAGTTGAAAAACTGTAAAGATTATTAATTCATAGGATGAATTAGACCAAAAAGACAACTGATGAGCTCGTGTGACATCAGTAAGAGCAAGTGTACTTCTGTCAAACTCAGGACAGCATCGAGGTCAGAATTGTCCTTTAAATGTACTTCCAAACCAAGGCGCTCCCATCGCGTCCCCTATGAGACTAGAGCTGACTGCCCCACTGGGCTTGAGACAAAATCTTTGCAGAAGTAGAAAGCCTCATCTTGCTGATAGTTTTGAACAATTGACCTTGAGGTTAGCAGCCCAATTAATAACCCCTATGCCACCCGAGCTCCTTGTTAGATATACTTTGCTATATGAAATGAAATCAAGTTCTTCGGGGTATTTGTGTGTCTCTTTGATGGAGGTAGACTCGTAACTATGGGAATGAACGTCTGTCCAATACCCAATTAACATCATAAAAATTCTGCATAGTGCTAACTTGTAGTTTCATTACTCTGATCTTTTTAATTTTAGGAAATGTACAATATACAGGGTTCTCTTAAAAAAAGAAAAAAAAAAGATGTGAGTAAATGATGTAACCTAAAGTGAAACAAATACTAGAACATTTATTTTATATTAATAATCAGTACATATTTTAATTTAGCAAAAACTTTTTTTCTTATAGAGTATTATTTCTTTAATATTCTGGTTCACAGTAATATAGTGCTAATTTTAATGAGACACACAATAATGGAACGTTTTACCTTTGTAATAGCTCATCCACTTAACATTTTTAAAGACAAAGAACTCCTATAAATATGTAACGTACTATGCAGGTGTTTTTCTGCACCTGTTCCCAGATCAGAAGGAATACATTAACTGCTTCAAAGGGCCCCTGTATTCACATCGCCCTCTTGCCCCTCCGGGTCCCCTACCACTTGCCTTACTGCCATGGATAATGGCTGGTTGCCCTATTTCTGATCTCTGTTCCCTTTCCCTTGGTGCCACACCTTAGGATGAGCTCTGGGAAGGTCAAGAGGCTGTGCCCATCAGCAAACTGGCATGTGTTATACCTCGCGCTTTGAACTGGTTCATTCTGGTTTGACCGCCAGCTGCGAATTTGCCTTTCCACTTCAGACATTCAGAATCTGTATTGTCACAAGATCCCCAGGTGATTCTTATGCATGTAGACAAGGGGGCTTCAAAAGTTAGTGGGGAAAAGTGGAACCGAAAGATAAGGAATTTCCCACAAGCTTAAAGCTTTGCTGTGAGTCGGGTGAGGGCTTACAGAGCAGATCACTCAGTTCACACATTTTGTTTCAACCCATCTATTGAAAAGTAGCACTACTTACCCCGCTGCCTGTTCCATTCCGCCTTCCTTTCTCACCCTCTGGTTTGTTCTTGGGGAAATGCTGCCCTTTTGATCTTAAAAGGTTGGATTATTCTAACCCAGGAGTGAATCCTGTTCCAGACCTGAAGGGTGACTGAAGGCCATGGTCTCAGGGGTCCCAGCTGCCTCTGTCCAACCATGTTCTTCCCATTCTATCCAGTACCTTCTACTGTCACCCCTCTCAGAGCAGCTGGTAGGGTCTGCTGGGCGTGATCTAGTGCTTCTGGTGCCAGGGCTCCACGAACTTTTTGAAGACCCTTGTATGTCTGCATAGGAATCACCTGGGCATCCCTGAGACTCATGGTGGGGGTGGGGAGGGGAGCAGATAATCTGATTCAATGTACCTGGGATGGAAAGGCAAATTCCCCGCAGAGGGTCACACTGGAACAAACCTGTCCAAAGCCCCAGTGAGCTAACAGTTCTGTTGCATCGAATTGAGTTAAATCACTTTATGTAGCATCCTCCCTATCAGTCCCACCTTTGCTACTAAATAAGGATCTTTGGTTTTTTCTCCAGAAAATTACCACAAAAGGTAGCATTGCCTACCATTTTGAACTCTGTATGATAAGAAACCTCATGTGATAAATAAAACCTCATAGGAATTTGAACCTAAACAACCCCAAAACCTTCCGTGATGAGTTTTACCAGTGCAGAGAGGCCAGGCCGAAAGTCAGCCCCCTACACTATTAGTGACATGAGGTCTTGCACAGCCTAATCGAGTCAACAGGATTTTCAAACAAGCAGATTCTAAAGCCTACTAATTTTAAAAATCTGCTTAACTTCCCAAAATTAATTAATTCTTAACTATGAAAGAAAGCTAAAAAATAAATTAATTTAAAAAAGAAAGCAAGCTATGGCACCTGGAAGTGCGTTGTGTGTGGCTGGAATTAAGCTGGGCTGCATACAGATGCCAGCTCTGCCTGGTGTCCTCTCCAGACCCACAGCCAAGAAGCCTCCTGCAGGAAGCCCTTCACACACGCTGCCTGAAGTCATCTCTCAGCCGGTCAGCGCAGTTTCGAAGAGTCCACGAAGTAGTAGACCAATGACGCGGCGCTAACTTGGGGCTGTCAAATAGATTACACCTGGAGAGAAATTATGCAGACAGCTTTGCTGAAGAACTCCATCTGTGCCGCGTGCTGATTATTCTCTGAGGTGGAGGTGGTGGCAGGGAACAGGATTCCGGTTTGAAAGCCCTTTTGTTTTCTGCTACCTTTACTTAAATGTTACGGGGTACTATTTTTACATCCGATAAAAGGGTTCTGGGAAAATGTTAAGTGAATAGTGCTACAGAAAATGGAGGAGGATTTTCATATTCGCTCGGTTGTAAGAAACAAAGTGAATAAAAGTGGAGTTTTAAAAGGAGTGGAGGTCAAATGTTTAAAAGAAAAAAGAAAATGAAAATCAAATAGGTAAAAATGTAATGGCATATATATATATATATATAAAGTGTGGTAATGAGTAAAAAAAAATAAAAATAAAAGGAGTGGAGGTCGGGAGGGTGCAGAGACGGTGAGGGAGAAAGGGGGAACAGATTACAAGGATCTACATGTAACCTCCTCTCTGGGGCACGGACAGCAGAGAAGTGGGTGAAGGGAGGCATTGGATGGTGTAAGATATGACAAAATAATAATAATTGCTAAATTATCAAGGGTTAATGGGGGTGGGGGAGCGGGGAGGGAGGGGAAAAAATGAAGAGCTGATACCAAGGGCTCAAGTAGAAAGCAAATGGTTTTTGAGGTGAGGATGAGGGAAACAAATGTACAAATGTGCTTGACACACAATGGATGGATGGATGGATTGTGATAAAAGTTGTCCGAGCCCCCAATAAAATGATTTTTTAAAAAAAGGAGTCAAGGTGATCATGCTGAAAAATGTATCAAGCAGCTGGTGAACCACCCAATCTTGTAAAATTCTAAGAGCAAAACAGAAGGCTGGCTATCTTACAAATGATCATTAAAAGCACTATTCATATCAGCAAAATTAACAGGATGCTCTTAACCGACTTTCAAATGATTATTTTAATATTGTCAAGTGGATGCAAATTGAACAAAAGCCTATTTATATCTTGCATGATAGGTCAAACCATCAAACACTCAGTAGGTAAATACTATCATAATTCTTTAAACCCTTTCCGAGAGACTAAGGCATCTGACGTTTGCTCATTTCCACAATAATAAAACCGTATGGATCACCATAGACATCACTGTTGTAATAGGACATGATAGAGCAGAATACTAGAACACAGCAGATGCGGTCATGTTCAGACCAGCTAATTGCTGGATTCCTTTTCTAACCGGACTTGTGCTCATTTAACCCACCAGAGAGTCTGTCTCAGTCAGAACAGTTGAGCAGAAGCCACTTAACAGTAAATGTCAATAGAATATACATCGCATCATAAAAAACAGCCACTCATAATACAACTGAATAAAAAATATATCAAACCACAGTTGGAAAAGTAGAAACCTAGAGCTAGTTAGATAAAATGTTATTTTCTTAACAACAAAAGCATCTATATAAAATCATACATATTTACTTGATATCTGCCTTTTCCCTCCCATGGGTGATGTTATTTATGAGCCAACTGGTAATTGTTGAAACGTGACCTACAGGATTAGTTTCCATTCAAAGTTCAGTTCAAATTAGTTCTAGCGGTCCTATTATCTGCCTTTTTAAAGATTTCAAATAAACATACCTAAATCTTCCAAGTATTTTCAGTAACTAATAATTGCTGTATTTTTTTTTTTTTTGCTCCTTCATGAGATTACTAAAATTTTACTTCATTGGGTTTGAAAAATTATGCCCAGTTTATTTGCTGGTAGCTGCTCAAGTCCATTAGCACCGCATGTAGTATTTTTAGAGAGGATGACTTAGCATTCTTTTTAATTGATTCCTTGGGTTTTGAAAAAAATCACCTTTTAAATGACCCCCCCCCATGCCCCACCCCCTTGTTCAAGATTATAAGCATCTAAACCCAATGCCAATGCCATCCAATTGATTGACTGATAGCAACCTAGTAACTCTCTATAGGGTTTCTGAGAATGTAAATCTTTATAGGAGCAAACTGATTCATCTGTCTCCTGAGGGGTAGCAGGTGTGTTTGAACCGATGACCTCGAGGTTAGCAGCTCAGGGCCGAAGCCAGAGAGCACCAAAGCTCTTTGATTATACGGATGGAAGCAGGAAAATTGGGAAAATGCAATACATATTTTGATGTTAAGACATGCATTCCAGCAAAGAGTCTCAATGATAATATTATTTGGGTCAGATTAGTTTCTTCTGCCAGCAGTCTCAATGGGCTTAGAGATAGAAACAAAGAAAGAAGATTCCACATGACAAAGAAACACACTTTCTATATACAGTCCAAAAATTATGCAAGAATGCACCCAGGTCCTTTAAAATCATCTACTATATATTCTTTTGACAAGAAACTCGTTAGCACGGGGAAGCTCTTTATTACTTCATCTGCTTTCAAAGTAGGAAGGAACCGTCGCTCAGTTTGGACAGTGGGGCCTGTATCTTTTAAACCTGTGAGGGAAGGCAGTGTGGGAATAGTATCATGGCCATTTCACACACGGAGAGACTGAAATAGAATTACTACTGACTTTTCTTAAAAAATGCTATCACTGATGAGATCAAATGCTCCTCTTTTAGACACTGAATAAAAATACAAACTCTTCTCATGTGTAAAGTTCTCTCCCCTCGCCACCTCCTCCCTCTTTTTAAGTAAAAGATTCAAAACAAACCAGAAACCTCACTGCCATTCAGTCAATTCTGACTCAGCCACCCCTGTGGCTTTCAGAGACTCTAGGCCACAGATTAGGTGGATTGAAAATACTGATGAGCTATCCCCAGATAAAATGTTTTCTCTTATCTCTCTCAACACATAGGCACCATGAACGAATGCTGGCATTTAAGATGCATGCTTTAACAATAACGTTTCACTATTCCGGCTCATTCTTGGTTGAGAGTGAGTCATATTTTTACTAAATGATTATGATTCCAGAGGGCATTTACTGCCAGGCTGGCCTTGGACCCATCCCCCTTTCTTCCAGGAGGGGCTGCTGAACAGTTCTTCAAGATGGATCCTGTGTGGTCTGGGATCCTTGTAAGTCAGGATGTTTTCCTGGTCATGGATGAAAAACAGTATTCTCTCCTCCTTCTGTTCGTTGTCTTCAGATTGGGAAAATGCAATCCGTATTTTGAGGTAAGATCATTGCCCGGGAATGTCACAACCATAAATCACACATTCAGGAAAGGAAGCTCAGCGTATTCACCATTTTAAACAATATAAAAATGCACTGTGAGAGAACAAAAAAAGTTTAAAACGGAAAGCAATGTCAGCCTATACACAGGATTGAATTATCAAAAGGACATCAGATTTTCTGACATCAGTTGATAAAAGCACTTATGACATAAAGTGCTCACGGAGTATGCTTTCCTTGCCCAAAGCAGCCATCCACATGCCATTGTAGCAGCTCCTGATGTCACCTGGTCCTGCTCACAACTGCCTTCCTGCCGTCCAGGGCGCTGCCCTGCAGTGGAAGTGTAGTTGATTCTGCAGGGAGGGCTTTATACACTCGATTCATTCTTCAGGACTTCCAGGTTGGAGTGGTACCTTTAAATGCCGTAGATGATAAACTGATTCCCCCAAATGCCACAACTCTGTCACATACGTCCTCGTGGAGCCTGACTTCCCTCCTGCACTAGACTGGAAGTCACTGTAGGAGGTTGTTTATTTTGCTGTCGTCGGAGACCATTTCGTTCACGAGCTGTTCTATAGACAACTGGATGGCATTGTCGACCAGAGAAGCCGCCGTCTCTACTAAGAGCGCTTCGTATTGTTCTGAAGTTCGACCCTCATAACCACCATCGTTGGCGAAGACCCCGACCGGCTCCCTTTCGATGGAGATGAGAAATTGCTTAGGGACATTTTTAGATTTCGTGACGTCAAATTCGCTGATCTCCGTGTCCGTGATGATGATGGCAATGGGCTCCATCCTCTTGCTTTCCTCCGATCGGCGTTGCTCCTGCTCGACCTCGTTCTCTTCCCTCGCTGGCCCGCCCGTGCTCGCGGGCGCACCCTCGGGCTCACCCTCTTCCGCTGCCACCGCGCCTCTCCCGGGGCCTTCCCGCGGGGCTCCTCCGGCCCGGGCCCCGGCCCCGGCAGGCTGCTCCGGGCTCGCAGCTGCGGGAGGCGGCTCGGCAGGCCCCGGGAGCGGACGCTGCGTGTCGGAAGCCTCCTTCGGACTTGCAGGCTCGGGCCCACCGCCCGGCGTTTCCTGGCTTGCCTCGGGATCGCTTTCAAGATGGGGAGTTTCTGGTGGAATAGTGGGATGCTCCGACTCTAAGCCCAACTCCACGGAAACCATTTTCTTTCCCGAAGCAGCCCCGGCGTGGCCCACACGTGCCTCGGCTGGCTCGTCGCCATCTTTCGGGGGGACACCCTCCCTGGGCTCCGGGGTGGGCCTGGGCCCCGGGGTCCCCGCGGTCCATGGGGCCTGAGCGCTCGGGGGCAGATGCTCAGCCTCCGGCTGGCCTCCCAGGCTGCCGGCTGCGTCTTCGCCGGCGGCTTCAGAGGGACTCCTTCTCTGACCGCTTGAGAATTTGATGCAGGGAATTTTCAGTCGGGATGTTGCCTTTTTCTTGGAAGGACCCGCAGCCTCGGCCTTGGTTCCAGATTGACTAGTGGCCTTCACGGGCTTGGGCGGCTTTGAAGGCGCTGCCCGCTTCCTGGGCGCGACCAGGCGTTGGAAGGAGGCCCAGGCCCCTCGCAGCGGCTGCCGCTGGTCAGAGGCGCCAGAGGGCGCGGGGCCCTTGGGCCCTTTGGCAGTTTTCTTCCTTCTCTTGAAGCAGAGCACGGCGGCTCTGTCCTCTGGCCTCCCGTCCTGAGCACTGGCCTCTGCTGATGGCTTCTCCTCCCTCTGTTCCACCTGGATTTCCGAAATGGTGGTCTCCATTGCCACCCTACAGGCTCGCCTCCTAGGGAGAAGGACGTGCTTTCCTCCCCGACAAAAACAGCCCACAGTCAAATCCCTTCCTGGACTTTTCCTTCCCTTTCGTCTTAAGCCATACAGTTGTTGTCGCCAGGCTCCAAGTACCTGCGTGTGCGGTGTCTTGCAATGTCACGCTGTCGTTTCTTCATGAAAGACCGCTCCTGGTTGGATTTTTACTTTAAAGATCAACCTGATGAGAGAAGAGAGAGTGGTATTTTATTTCACGTTCATCAATATTTTCCTCAGAGACGATTTCGGGTGGAGGGATAGGATTCTATCAGGCATGCTTCTCATATAAGATTTACTGAAATAACTAGGGATAAAAATGGGCATTTACTTTTGCTCTATCAAAAAGATTCCAGTGGGGATCGATTTTTGCTCAGTTCTTCTTTTGCTAAGGCGTCATCGGGTTTCTGTTGGTTTCTTGGTGCGCTGTCTTTAGGGACTGGGCAAGACTGCATTGCTGGTTTTAGCAAACACATACAAAAAATTAAAAACAACAATAATGAAGGCCGAATGATAATCATGCTAATGTCATTTTGATTACCTACAATAGAGAACTTGAAAGGACTTTCGATTATTCATTGATTCCCCGATAATTCAAATCCAGCCGGGTAATAAAATTTAACTCCGGAAGGGACAGTTGCCCTGCCAACATGCACATAACAGTAGAGGGCAGCGGTAGAGGCAGTCGGCACTCAAGAATCCGACTCTTCAGCCTTCTTTCCACTCTACCTTAAGGTTGTTGTTCTAAAGACATGTGCTCCATCAAGGAGGTGCTACTTTTCATTCATACTCTTAGGGAAATGATTCATCACTGGCATTCTCTATTCTTCACTTTAGTTGTCTGGTTGGGACACGGTCATCTGTCATCACTGGCACAGAGTTCAGGTCAGCAGGAGTTAACGACAACAATAACTGGCCTTGATTGTGCAACTTCTGCATATGAGGTCGTGTGAAACACTTACATTCTTTAGTAACCCCCACCACATCGTTATAGAGTGGCGGTATGATCAAGTCCTCTGCTTATCCTACTTCCTCCCTGTTTCCTGTGTCCATTTTCCCTTCCTTCCTAATGCGTCTGAACTCTGTCCTTGGGTAGCTGCAGCCCTTTGGATCTCAAAGAGATTATTCCAGCGTGGGAATGCCACCTTACAGTTAGTTCCCCTGACAGACCTGTCTCTTGCTGACATTGAGCCACAGGGCTGAGTTAAGTGCCAGACTTGAAAAGTGGCGAAGGGCCGTGGTCTCTGGGTTACACCAATCTAAGCCTGGTCTTTTATTATGAGGTTGAGTTTTGTTCCACACCAAAAACTCAGGATTTTTGTTAAAGAACCCACTCTTTGGTATTATCATACCATTCTGTGGATTAATTTCTTAAATCAATTTTTTGGGGGGGGGGGTGCTCGTACAACTCTTATCACAATCCATACATAACACCCATTGTGTCAAGCACATTTGCACATTTGTTGCCATCATCATTCTCAAAACATCTGCTTTCCACTTGAGCCCCTGGCATCATCAGCTCTTCATTTTTCCCCCTCCTTCCCTGTTCTCCCTCCGCTTATCTGTGGATTAATTTTAAAACATACTTTTATACATAGCTAATCAACTTATCAGTTGCATGGCTTATTCATTTTGACTTGGCTTTTAAATTTGTTCTAGAACCCCCCAAAACAAGATCTAAAGAATTTCAAAAGCTTGGTCTTAAAAGAGCAAGAACTCAGCTTAGTGTCGGTTCAATTATGAGTTGATGGATTATTTTATGATTCATGAAATGACTATTAGACAATGTTATAAAATGTTGACTAATAGATCTCATGTAAATTAGGATCTTCAAGCAATCAATTATCTGAAGAAAGTCTTAAAGCCCTGTTTATCACGGTGGTTCAAAGAATGGACTTCAGAAACAATCCTCTGTTGAATCTAAGCTCTGCAGCCCCCTGATGGGCTCTGGATTCTTGGGTCAATTGCTTAACTTCTCTCAGCCTCAGTTTCTTCATCTGGCCATGATCACGACACCACCCACCCACTCTATAATGATGTGGTGAGGATTGCAAAAGGATGCAGGTGCTTCTTTACACGACCTCATACACTCAAGGGCACGAAGCCAAATGGGGATGAGGTGTTGAATGGAAAACTGATCTGCTCTCTATACACCTTCACCCAATACACAATCATTTTTGTTTTTTAATCCTAGGAATTTCTTGTGGATGTAATAAATGAATAGGGGCTGAATTTCAATGCAGGAACCTGATAACACAGGCAAATATTCTCTTGGTTTGGGCGCTGCCTCTTCTCTGCATCTGACAAAACCACAAAATGGTCCGACGTAGAGCAAGGACGTCCCCGGGTGCCCTCCAGGGAAGCTCAATCAGAACCGACGCAGATTCGAGCTTTCTGTCTTCTCAACTCTCCCCAGTTATCTGGGCCCGGGCATTTTTCTAAAGACAGTTTCATTGACATACGGTTGGTATACCAGGCACTTCCTATGAAAAAAACTCGGACGATCATCACAACTCCCGAACATTCTTAGGAAGCAGAGATGACCATTTCTTACTGCTAGAAGTCGGGACATTAGGCCATGTTCGGGAATGCTCATTTCAACTAACCTGACAAGGCCAAAGGCAATTTCTAGAGGCACGTTCTCATTTCAGTGTTTTTCCTGTCTCTTGAATGTATCCCACCTGTTTTATTTAGACATAAAACAAATTTCGACACAGAAATCTACCTGGAACGATGTGTGTGAGGGTGGGGCGTGGGGTGGAGATGGGAGCGCGGAGTGGAGACATCATCCAACTTCCCAGAGTTATGCCCGCCTGCACTTGACCGGCCCTGCACCTGCATGGGCAGTACGGCCACCTCAGAGAACCTCCAGCCGCTGGCGTCATTCTGACACCATGGCAAGTCGAAAGCCACAGAAAACACCGCCTTCCCTTTGGGGGCTCCAGCCGAGAGCCATCGGTCCCGAGGACAGAAGCGATCTCCCAGCACCAGACCCGGACCCCGCAGCTCCCCCAGGAGGCAGCCGCGCCGGCCGGCTGGGTGTCCCTCCGGAAGGAGACAGCGCAGCGCCAAGTGCTCAGAGGGGAAGGTGCAGGGGCTGCAGAGCGGTCCCAGCTAAATGACCAGGACCCCCAACCACCACCACCACCCCCGCAAACGGGCCGCCCCTGCGCGCTTCGCGCTGCACGGCGCAGCGGGGCGGATGCACCGTGTCAACAGGGGTCCCCTGGATGGCGACTCCAGCGCGCCACCGACCTCGGCGGCTTCGACTGCCAGCCACCTCGGGGGCCCGGGCTCCTGGGTCCTCCCACCCAGGAGCGACCGCAGACCCGACCTCGGAGCCTCTCTCCCGCAGCCTCCTTCCCCGGCTTCTACTCACCGAGGGCGGCCGGGGTCTGTGGCCAGACGTGCTCCCAGGGCCGG